TAGATACGCTTGGCAATCACTAAGCATGAAACATGGATATGTTGTTATGGAAGGGGTAACGTTGAACAATTTATTAACATTATGTTATAAAACAAAGTCTTCACTTACTGACAAAATGTAGGTTCTTCTAAAAACTTTTTCAGTTAATAAATACTCTTTGATATTTAAAACCAGTCCCCTTAACTTAGTATTTACAGTCTTCAAGAAGTCAGGTGGCAAACCTGTGAAATGAGATCACAATATGACTAAACGTCACAGGACTAGACAATAATATCATGTCCATTTGATTACAATGGGGGTACATCATATTAGGGGCTTATTCCATTGATTTTCTTATAACTGAGGTGAAAAATATCGCTGATATGTTATGATGGGGTCTCCATTGTAATAGGGTTTGTTTCCAATAACAAAAGTTCCAATGTGCTGTACTAACAAATTGGCATAACACTGTGCACGTAGTCACCGAAAGCTGTTAGAAGTTTATTTGTCTCAGGCCACAAAAGCCCTACACAATTAATTTCATAGAACTTTACTTTTCCAACAAAGACTCATTTAGAGAATGAGTTCTACTGTCTGAAGTCGAACTATGTTTGTGCATTCCAAGACTACACAGGAAATGACGCACATCTGTAATTACATGTACGTGCTTGCACTAAAAGGTTTGTTTGTTTTTATTGTTGCTAATGTTGGACAAGGACAAAAATAGCTGACTCTAATGGCAAAAGGTTAATCTTGTTCATGTATTTTCTGTTGGAGACTCTTATCACAGGTTATTACTCTTACTCAACTCAACAAGTAATAACAGAAAAACACAGCACAGCAATGTTAGAAAAATTCATAGTACATGCATACATTGTACAGGTTTTAAAATTCGAATACAAACTCAGGTTAAAATGGTTTCAACCTCAGTTTGATCCCCTTATAACAACTGAATCTAAAATCCTCTAAGGAGCACTCGGCAGACTAGGTTTAAACAACCTGTCACGTTAAGGAGTCTTACTACACTACCCATGGATACTTTGACACCTGAATATTATTGTAACTGCCATATTTATATGTCCACTGTACAAGTTACCTGAAGCTTGAAGCCAGTCCCTGTGACAGAAGAAAAGTATGACTAGAGCACCCTTGAATTGTGCTAAGTCTTCAAGAACTCTTTCACGCCTTTGGAAGTCAGCTGGAAACCATCAAATGAAATAAAAGTTAAAATCATGACAACGCAATGTGTCTTTCAAATTTGTTGGTCAATATTTAAGTACAACATTGTGACTTGCCACAATCAACTTTAATTATTGCAAATGCAGTGACAAAATTGCTACAATGGGTAACTTTCAAGAACAAAAAAGTTCACACCCCTTCCCTCTCCTCTCCATTCAAAGTTGGGGTATTTGTTGTTTTGTACAGGTACATGTAACTTGAACAGTGGCACAACATTGCATGGGGGGGGTAGGGAGGGAAAGCTTTATTTTAGGGGAGCAAGGGTGGCGCAGTGGTGAGAGCACTCGCCTCCCACCAATGTGGCCCAGGTTCAAATCCTGGCATCAATGCCATGTGGGTTGAGTTTGTTGTTGGTTCTCTCCTTTGCTAGAGAGGTTTTTCTCCGGGTACTCCGGTTTTCCTCTCTCTTAAAAAACAAACATTTTCAAATTCCAATTCGACCAGGAATCAGGTAGACGAAGAACTACTATGTAGATGTGCTACCTCTTAATCTCTAAATCATTATTTATTTTCTCTTTTTGAAGTTGGCAAGATGTTAGAAAGGCCCCGAGGACAAACTGTCTCAAATAATTTTGTCCCCAATTGTTTGTCTTAATGCATAGCCTAATACATCTTCCATCTTCATGTACCTGTACTCTCCCCTTGAAGAAGGAAAAATAACAGCTGGGGATGGCTTCACATGGCCTACATCATGTGCTGGGTCATAAAATTTCTAAAACTCCTACATCCCCTCATATCCCAGGAATCTGATTTTATTTTCCGTGCTTGGAGAGAGAGAAATTAAACAGAAAATGCCTTGCTAGGGGGTTTTGTGAAGTGTAACTTCATTTACAAAAAGGTTATGTTAATTACTTTCAGCTCTTGATTCTAACTCCTTACCATTAATAGAGAAAGCCAAAGGAAATACAATTGGTGAAACAAAGATGCTCATATGGACATCAAAATCCAATCCTGTCAATTGAAAAGAACAACACATTGCATGTATGTGGTGAAAGCTTTCCTTCATCTACATGTATTTGCCTCAAATGATTTAACAGCATAATTTCTCAGATAATGAAGTAGCTGTATAGTGACTACTGTACTGGAAGAAAAAGATGTGCATATTATAACATTTAAACAAAGGTAAAGCAAGCACCCCTATTGGTCAATTTTGCAACTATGAGTCCAATTGTCTTAGCACTGATGAAAGTATCAGTTTGTTGGGCAAAAGACTTGAAAAAATTCCTTCTTTTTTAGTCACATACAGTCTTTGTTGAGCTACATACTTTTCTTTAATTTTACTATAATCTATTTTTATTCAGTACGCACGGTGTACCCTATTTTCTTGGAAAGCCTATAGTTCATAAACTGCCAAATTCTATATGGGCTTCCCTGTCATTACCATTTTGAACATTTGTAAAATAAATTATTTAGAATGGTGTCTAACATCTTTAAAAGGTTATCAAATTATTGCATTAATAGTAAAATATATTTTATGTGGTTAATAACAAAATAAATGAATGAATGAAAGCTAGCACAAACTCACAGCAGTAGTGTCATCTTTACAACCAAGTTTGCAAGTTAAAGAGTTATACTGCTGTTGTGCAACTGCCAAGGTATGGATGCCTTTAGAAAGTTTGCTGAGCACTCAAGGACAAGAATCTAGAGTTGCTCTTAACATCTATTTTGCGCTTAGTAACCTTCTACTGCAGACAACCATAATGAGATGGTTGCATACTGGTGCATGCTGACAGTTGCATAATTTTGTTAACTGTCATAAATTATCCTGCTCATGTCCCACACTTGTGGCATAATGATTATATTACACTTTCTCAAGAACAACTACCAATCACCTTCTTATCTGTCAAAAACAAGACAAGCTTTTCACGGTTATTTTATAGACCTTCAGTCTTATGCACTGGTGGCAGTTTGAGAACAAAAACAACTTTTGAATTTTAAGTTGGCTATGTGACTTATTGGAGACTTTTAGTATCAGGTTTTTCATGGTTAATGTCAAACAGCAAACCTGAGGATGTCACATGACCACAGTCTTGCAGTCGCATTTGCAGTTTGCAGTTTGCACTTCATGTTTGAATAGCAGGAAGAGCTTCCAGTGGTAAGTGATTTACAGCAAGGTTTTTTTGCCATTAAAAATTGTACAGCCTCTTGTTTAAAGTTAGATTTTATGTTCTCCAGGCAATAAAAGTGAAGCACTGTGACTTGACGAAAAACAAAATGGTGGCACTAAGCAACAAATGCTATGCTAAAATTCAAAATCCTGACAATAGAGAGATTAAGTTTCACGTTTACGCCAAACGGCAATCGTGAATTTGTACCACGTGACCAAGTTTTCCCCTTATTTTTCGTTTACTGTTTATTGCTTCTACACAAAAATAGGTAAATTTATGCCAGTTTTATCCAAAAGAATCGTTCTGGACTGTTTTTATCTGCTTATTTTCTATTTTGAGAAATTCTCAACTGACGTTTGCCGTTTGCCGTGTGCCGTAAACGTGAATCTTAATCTCTCTAATGTGAAACTGCCAACGTGTAACTGCAAACTGCAGATCAAGGTTTGCGATTTCCCAAGAAAGAAGTCACTGAATGAGATTAAGATAGCAAGCGATCATTGACAGAATGGAAACAAGACTTAATGGTTACAGCACTGAGTCAAGCCATTAATACACGATTTACAATCTATAGCATGCCTCTATCATGGTTATAAATAATATTTACTTACCCAATTTCTGACAAAGAAATGTTGCAAGTGCTGTGAAAAAAAAGGGTGAAAATATCAGTACCTATTAAAGTAATCTCAGGGGTCGATCTAGAGGGGGTTCAGGGGGTTTGAATAAAACCCCATAAATTAAAACAGCTAACGTCAAAAACTTGTAAAGATGTAAAATAAATACACTCAATCATTAATGAGAAAAGAATGGCATTTTCACTTAAAAAAATGAGATATAAAAACACACTGACTTTGCCTCAGATTGGAATTTCAGTATGCCCCCAGGCCCCCCTACAAAGGTGGCCCCCTTTCATCAAACCCCCTCTGCTAAAAACCTGGATCCACCCCACAATGTTGGATTTCAAGCAGGGGTATAACCTTTGCAACATAAGAAATATAACCTTTTCTAAACCCTCTCGGCCCCCCCAGGGGAAGGGGGGTATTCCTGATTTCAAGTGACTGGGATGATTGAATGGGGGCAAAACTCAAAACCCAAAAAAATCTCTGCACCAAAATTTAACCCCCTAAAAATCCCATGCCGCATTTCCGAGCCATAAAATTTTCGAGAAAGCATTAAATGACAACACGAAAAATAGAAACATTAGTTTTGAATACCCAGAAAAATTCCTACTTAAATCAAGCTACCCCAAAAAATACTTGCCAAAATTTTTCTTCCCTGAAAAAATCTTCGATCATCCCTGTCACTAGAAATCCAGAGTACCCCCCCCCCCCCCCCCCCCCCCGGCCCAAAAACCCCCACAAAAACTCCCCACACACAATTCTTTTTTCTTCCACAAAAAAAAGAAAAAAAAAATATATAAAAAAAAAAAAAAATTTTCTTTTTTGTTTGTTATTTTTATTTTTATCATAACATTCTTTTCTAGAAATTAAAACTCAGGTTAAAATGGTTTCAACCTCAGTTTGATCCCCTTATAACAACTGAATCTAAAATCCTCTAAGGAGCACTCGGCAGACTAGGTTTAAACAACCTGTCACGTTAAGGAGTCTTACTACACTACCCATGGATACTTTGACACCTGAATATTATTGTAACTGCCATATTTATATGTCCACTGTACAAGTTACCTGAAGCTTGAAGCCAGTCCCTGTGACAGAAGAAAAGTATGACTAGAGCACCCTTGAATTGTGCTAAGTCTTCAAGAACTCTTTCACGCCTTTGGAAGTCAGCTGGAAACCATCAAATGAAATGAAAGTTAAAATCATGACAATGCAATGTGTCTTTCAAATTTGTTGGTCAATATTTAAGTACAACATTGTGACTTGCCACAATCAACTTTAATTATTGCAAATGCAGTGACAAAATTGCTACAATGGGTAACTTTCAAGAACAAAAAAGTTCACACCCCTTCCCTCTCCTCTCCATTCAAAGTTGGGGTATTTGTTGTTTTGTACAGGTACATGTAACTTGAACAGTGGCACAACATTGCATGGGGGGGGTAGGGAGGGAAAGCTTTATTTTAGGGGAGCAAGGGTGGCGCAGTGGTGAGAGCACTCGCCTCCCACCAATGTGGCCCAGGTTCAAATCCTGGCATCAATGCCATGTGGGTTGAGTTTGTTGTTGTTTCTCTCCTTTGCTCGAGAGGTTTTTCTCCGGGTACTCCGGTTTTCCTCTCTCTTAAAAAACAAACATTTTCAAATTCCAATTCGACCAGGAATCAGGTAGACGAAGAACTACTATGTAGATGTGCTACCTCTTAATCTCTAAATCATTATTTATTTTCTCTTTTTGAAGTTGGCAAGATGTTAGAAAGGCCCCGAGGACAAACTGTCTCAAATAATTTTGTCCCCAATTGTTTGTCTTAATGCATAGCCTAATACATCTTCCATCTTCATGTACCTGTACTCTCCCCTTGAAGAAGGAAAAATAACAGCTGGGGATGGCTTCACATGGCCTACATCATGTGCTGGGTCATAAAATTTCTAAAACTCCTACATCCCCTCATATCCCAGGAATCTGATTTTATTTTCCGTGCTTGGAGAGAGAGAAATTAAACAGAAAATGCCTTGCTAGGGGGTTTTGTGAAGTGTAACTTCATTTACAAAAAGGTTATGTTAATTACTTTCAGCTCTTGATTCTAACTCCTTACCATTAATAGAGAAAGCCAAAGGAAATACAATTGGTGAAACAAAGATGCTCATATGGACATCAAAATCCAATCCTGTCAATTGAAAAGAACAACACATTGCATGTATGTGGTGAAAGCTTTCCTTCATCTACATGTATTTGCCTCAAATGATTTAACAGCATAATTTCTCAGATAATGAAGTAGCTGTATAGTGACTACTGTACTGGAAGAAAAAGATGTGCATATTATAACATTTAAACAAAGGTAAAGCAAGCACCCCTATTGGTCAATTTTGCAACTATGAGTCCAATTGTCTTAGCACTGATGAAAGTATCAGTTTGTTGGGCAAAAGACTTGAAAAAATTCCTTCTTTTTTAGTCACATACAGTCTTTGTTGAGCTACATACTTTTCTTTAATTTTACTATAATCTATTTTTATTCAGTACGCACGGTGTACCCTATTTTCTTGGAAAGCCTATAGTTCATAAACTGCCAAATTCTATATGGGCTTCCCTGTCATTACCATTTTGAACATTTGTAAAATAAATTATTTAGAATGGTGTCTAACATCTTTAAAAGGTTATCAAATTATTGCATTAATAGTAAAATATATTTTATGTGGTTAATAACAAAATAAATGAATGAATGAAAGCTAGCACAAACTCACAGCAGTAGTGTCATCTTTACAACCAAGTTTGCAAGTTAAAGAGTTATACTGCTGTTGTGCAACTGCCAAGGTATGGATGCCTTTAGAAAGTTTGCTGAGCACTCAAGGACAAGAATCTAGAGTTGCTCTTAACATCTATTTTGCGCTTAGTAACCTTCTACTGCAGACAACCATAATGAGATGGTTGCATACTGGTGCATGCTGACAGTTGCATAATTTTGTTAACTGTCATAAATTATCCTGCTCATGTCCCACACTTGTGGCATAATGATTATATTACACTTTCTCAAGAACAACTACCAATCACCTTCTTATCTGTCAAAAACAAGACAAGCTTTTCACGGTTATTTTATAGACCTTCAGTCTTATGCACTGGTGGCAGTTTGAGAACAAAAACAACTTTTGAATTTTAAGTTGGCTATGTGACTTATTGGAGACTTTTAGTATCAGGTTTTTCATGGTTAATGTCAAACAGCAAACCTGAGGATGTCACATGACCACAGTCTTGCAGTCGCATTTGCAGTTTGCAGTTTGCACTTCATGTTTGAATAGCAGGAAGAGCTTCCAGTGGTAAGTGATTTACAGCAAGGTTTTTTTGCCATTAAAAATTGTACAGCCTCTTGTTTAAAGTTAGATTTTATGTTCTCCAGGCAATAAAAGTGAAGCACTGTGACTTGACGAAAAACAAAATGGTGGCACTAAGCAACAAATGCTATGCTAAAATTCAAAATCCTGACAATAGAGAGATTAAGTTTCACGTTTACGCCAAACGGCAATCGTGAATTTGTACCACGTGACCAAGTTTTCCCCTTATTTTTCGTTTACTGTTTATTGCTTCTACACAAAAATAGGTAAATTTATGCCAGTTTTATCCAAAAGAATCGTTCTGGACTGTTTTTATCTGCTTATTTTCTATTTTGAGAAATTCTCAACTGACGTTTGCCGTTTGCCGTGTGCCGTAAACGTGAATCTTAATCTCTCTAATGTGAAACTGCCAACGTGTAACTGCAAACTGCAGATCAAGGTTTGCGATTTCCCAAGAAAGAAGTCACTGAATGAGATTAAGATAGCAAGCGATCATTGACAGAATGGAAACAAGACTTAATGGTTACAGCACTGAGTCAAGCCATTAATACACGATTTACAATCTATAGCATGCCTCTATCATGGTTATAAATAATATTTACTTACCCAATTTCTGACAAAGAAATGTTGCAAGTGCTGTGAAAAAAAAGGGTGAAAATATCAGTACCTATTAAAGTAATCTCAGGGGTCGATCTAGAGGGGGTTCAGGGGGTTTGAATAAAACCCCATAAATTAAAACAGCTAACGTCAAAAACTTGTAAAGATGTAAAATAAATACACTCAATCATTAATGAGAAAAGAATGGCATTTTCACTTAAAAAAATGAGATATAAAAACACACTGACTTTGCCTCAGATTGGAATTTCAGTATGCCCCCAGGCCCCCCTACAAAGGTGGCCCCCTTTCATCAAACCCCCTCTGCTAAAAACCTGGATCCACCCCACAATGTTGGATTTCAAGCAGGGGTATAACCTTTGCAACATAAGAAATATAACCTTTTCTAAACCCTCTCGGCCCCCCCAGGGGAAGGGGGGTATTCCTGATTTCAAGTGACTGGGATGATTGAATGGGGGCAAAACTCAAAACCCAAAAAAATCTCTGCACCAAAATTTGACCCCCCAAAAATCCCATGCCGCATTTCCGAGCCATAAAATTTTCGAGAAAGCATTAAATGACAACACGAAAAATAGAAACATTAGTTTTGAATACCCGGAAAAATTCCTACTTAAATCAAGCTACCCCAAAAAATACTTGCCAAAATTTTTCTTCCCTGAAAAAATCTTCGATCATCCCTGTCACTAGAAATCCAGAGTACCCCCCCCCCCCCTGGGCTAAGGCCAAATATCCACATACAAATTCTCCAGACTCATATTCATATGTTTCCAAAAAGAAGGAGATAAGAGAGTTTAATAAAAGATCAAAATATTCTCTCTTTGCTGANAGACAAAACAAAAAAAAAAAACACTACGTTTCAACACCCACAAAAATTCCTACTTACACCAAACTTCCCCAAAAACAACTTGCCCAAATTTTTCTCCCCGTAAAAAACCTCCGCCCATCCCTTCCAAAAAAAATCCAAAGTCCCCCCCCCCCCCCCTGGGCTAAGGCCAAATATCCACATACAAATTCTCCAGACTCATATTCATATGTTTCCAAAAAGAAGGAGATAAGAGAGTTTAATAAAAGATCAAAATATTCTCTCTTTGCTGATCATTTTATCAATTCTCATAACCAGTTCTCTTGACAATGTATGGAGATTGTTAGGAGAAAATTGATGTTGGTGACTATAAGGGTTAGCCTCCTTTTGGGGAAAGGCTAGATGAATGAAGGATGTTACTCTGCTGTGAAAGGAGAACCAAAGATAATATAAAACACACAGATGGTTCAATAAAATGTGTAACAAGAAAGAGCAGCAATTTTTCATGTGTGGTTTACAATTAGCCTGCAAGAGCAGACGTATTTGGAGAGTAGAGATGACTGAAGATATGTCTGCATTCACAGGCTAGTTTACACTATTCTTCCTCTGTCCCATGCTAATGTCCAAAATGAATGGTCTGTAATTTCAGACATTTGTTTAAGGTTACAGGGTCAAGATAATCTAAGGTTTGGGGCTAAACTGGCTATAGGTTTGACTCCCATAGAAGAAATGGTTTCCAAGCTCTACACGTATGTTTCAAGCAATAGGTCTAAATGTCAGAGAAATAAATGGCCATTCTCTTATTTTGACAAGCATTTCATAGTGCCATCAGCACACCTCTACCAAATATATACAAATTACCCCCATTTCTAAAGCACTTAAAGAAAAGAGGTGGGAAGGAGCATCTTAGGGAGGGCAATCATTTGATCAAAAACAGAGAAAACAGAGAACAAGACAAATAGCAAATTTTAACACTGCATGTTCTTTAAATCTTGAACAAGGTGAGGTTTAAAGGCCTTGAAGGCACACCCCCACCAAAATGTCCCTAAAGTACCTCACCCATGGGGGGGAAAGGAAGGGAGGGAGGGTAATAAGGGACTGATTATGAGAATAACTGAACTGAGATACATGTATCAACATTACATGTCCTGCAGTGCTGCTGTGAAGATACTGGATGGGGGTTGTCAATGTTAAAACAAGATTTCAATTTGCGTCAAAGTCTATGCATAATGCATACCCCAGGGGCCCCACTCACATATTTTAATGACGGGGGGGTCTGACAGAGGTTCATATTTTATACCCCAAAAAATCCCAACTTCAGAATTTGTCTACCCGAAAAAATCCCTACTATTTTTAGCATACCCAAAAAAATCCCTCAGTGTTTTTGCATCAGCAAATTTTATTATTTATCTTCTGGAAAGCTAAAACATGCCAACTTCAACTTTTGTTTTGGTCAAAAACAAAACTATAAATTGCGCTTATGTTATTTTTGATTTGAGCTGATGAAAAATACAATACCCAAAAAAATCCCTCTGTTGTTTTCGCGACCCAAAAAAATCCCGGCGTCTTTCATAGACCCAAAAAAATCCCTTTTGGCCAAAATGTCAGACCCAAAAAAATCCTTCAGACCCCCCCCGTCATTAAAATATGTGAGTGGGGCCCCTGGGATGCATACACTGGAAGGAAATGTTAAGTGGCAGGTAATAGACCTTTTCATGGTTTTTTCAACTTTCGTCACGGACAAGTTAGGGACAATTTGTTGACACCACTGGAAAAAGTGCCTTTATATAATTAGAAAATTGCTTAATTTTAAAGTAACACGTCTTAAGCGAGCAAAGATATAGCTCCGCAAAGTTACGAACATTTACAGATGTTATTATGGTGGGGGCAAGTTTGAGCCCCCCATCATACAAATGTCTGTAAAATTTTGTGACTTTGAGGATCTATACTAATCTTAAGGTGCTCTTGTCAGTGGTGTTGACCATGTCAAAAGTTGAAAAAAACGGTGACAAGGTCTGTTGCCAACATAACATGATTTTCGCCCACAAGTGTTCGAATTCAGCATGTACAGTGTCTACAAGAGGAAAATCGATCACAGAAAGCTGCGATGAATATATTACAGAAATGAGTTTTTACATTGCCAAATCGAGTCAATTACTTAAAACAAATTGAGAGACCGGCTTCAGAAGAAGTCGGTGTTCTGAACAACTGGTTTGATACAAGATTACCGCTACTACACAGGTTGAAGACGACTGTTATACGCACCTGCCAGGGCCATTTGAAGAAGAACTATTACCGTCAGATTTTGCGCAAATGTTTTTATCACCTACAAAATATGATAGCAGCGGCCGGCAAACAATTACATCAATTACCAAAATTCAATTTCAATTCAAATTGATTTAAGTTAGAAAGTTCACTTACGGTTTTGTCTATGAATAATTTCTGGAAGTGGTAAAATTTGCCTTTAACTCCTTGGCGTTTTGACCTTCTTTTTTCGCTCCACTCATAAATATCTTGTCTTCCATCTTCGATGTAAGCCGGATCTAAAGTGCTAAGAATGCTGTTCTTGCTGACATGGAACGCCATATTTGCGCTGGTATACTACACGAACCGGCCCACACGAACCCTGAATAATTCGACTGACTTCAGACTTCATCAAATGCTTCAAAAAACGACATCAAGACTGATTGCTCTCTACAAGGACCAGCTACGGTGAGATTACTCAACTTTCTCTTCGCAGAAACGTCGATTCCAAGAGGCGCTACCAGGACACAATCAGGATGGGGAAAGCTGGGGAGGAGTTTTAGAATCTAGTTACCAGGTCTCTTCCTCTAGAGTCTCTCGTCGCGCTCGGAAGGCGTATTTATCCTTGCGTGAAAACTTTCGTTGCTTTTTCCCCTGACCCAACTGACTGCCCCTTGGGTCTCTGAGGATCCCCTTTCGCTCTCCCTGACACTTTTTCTCTTTACCAACCCCCTATGTCCCCACAGAGACTTTCACCAGTCATTGACTTAACATGGCTTGCAAGGATGGGGACTTAAAAGATCACTGGTCTAACGAAGAGAGATCTCCTTTTAGGTCGTATTTGCGAATATAAGAGGTCCTCTTTTTCCAAAATCGGACAGATTTGACGAGAATTGAAGTTGGAGCTGATTAGGCAAATTCAAAATAGACCTAGTTACACGTCGTTTAATGGCGTTAAGTTTAGCAACAAGTTCAGGGGCACCCAACGAGAATATAGTTCAAAACCACTTAAACATGGCATTGTTGAACGTATTTTAGTATTTAAACGGTAGATATAGGCATATTTTTATCCCCTTAAAAGTTTTCATCTGTTCGGATTTCCTCGCTGAAATTCTAGTGATCCGAAAATTATATAGTCTGCTACACAGCCGGCTGTGTAGCAGACTAAAAATTATAGGGATCAAAACTTACCTTTTCGAAAATTTCAGCCACAAAAAAGGCTCCCGAAAACTCTAGGTGACCTTTTTAGGGGTAAAAATCCGTGAAAAATGGGCAATTATACCATTTGTTTAGATGTTCGAAAATCCTAGGAGAGGCAGGCAAGCAAGAAGTTTACAACAAATGTTCCGAAAATTCTAGATCTCAAATCGTCTTCCGAACAGATATTTTCCGAAAATTGACGTTGGGTGCCCCTGCAATTTCAGTAGACTGCCGCTGTTGTCTGCGTTGCCTGAATTTGGAGTGGTGTGTCCTAGGACTTCCTAATCCAAAGATTAACAGTCTGCATCTTGCTGCGGTTACAAGAATGAACCTCGTGTTTCTCTTGATGTATCCAAGTAGTTTGTTGGTGCGCGTGGTTTTATGCGTATAATCCACACCCCAAGGTCTTTTTCTGCGGCGTATGTACCAGGAAGGATGTTTTTAAGACTGTGGGTAGATATGATCTTAGCTCCCCAATGGCGGAGAGTTTTAAGGGAAGTTGAGATATGATCTAACAGCGTCCCTTCGCTTCCATACCTCGCTAAAATGAATGAAGATAAGGCATGGCAAGAGGTACTGACCAGTGGCGTGAAGAAATCCATATAGTGGCAGGTCATCTCTTTATCAAGAATGGAGAAGCGCCGAGCAAAAAGTTAGCGACGGTCGTGGCCATCTAAAAAAATGCTAAGAGAGGGGAAAAGGCAGGATCGAGACAGTCCATTTACGGCCTGTAATCTTATTCAGCGAGACTGGACGTACACTGCACATAGGTGAAATACCAAAAAATAGAAAATAAGAATATCATGACTTCTTTCTCTCCCAGTCCTATTCTGTTGCATGCATATGGTAATATGTTTTAAAACAACCACACCAGAGGGTACCTAGAACAACAGACACGTGACAAAAGACTTGACAAGCGAAAACAGCGATTTCTACAAATTAATATATTTCTCATTGCTATTGTTCTCTGCAAACAACAACTTCAGTTTAAAGATCGAATTGAATGCATTGTAAATCGAATCGAATGCCTTGAAAAGAAATGAGTGTGAATATATCTTTTTTGTTTTCCTTGCCTGACAAATTTCTTTTTCACTCAGTGGCGTTATTATACTATCAGTGACTTGTTTTGCTGAATTTTCCTTACTATAGAAGTTATAGTGGATCGTGTAAATTGATTCCGGCATGAGCTAAGAGAAGTCACATAAAATCAAGGCATTCAGAACCGTAAAGTCTTCGTAACAGTTGACTGTACTGACCGTACTGTAAACAGCTGTGCGATATTTCATTTTTTGTAGTCCGAGATGAAGTTTTGCATTAGCTTCTCTAAATAATCACACTCAATTATTTGTCTTTCTTTGAAGAGAGAGACAACTTTGTCCAATCAAAGAGGCAATTAAAACGGCTAAGTAAAAATTTGATAGCAATTTTAGTGCACCTAGCGAAACAACACAATTTTACACTGCAAACCGCGGCTTGTTTACTTTCTCAGCGAGTCCAATAACTAAATAAAAATGTCGCATTCATGACATGTACTTGTTGAAAAACCTCTCTCTGACTATCTTTAAGCGCGGCGGGACGACATTATATTAAAATTTTAAATCACATTTCCATTTCAATCTCTGTCACTTTCCTGTGAAGTTCACTTGACACCTTCCATCGCCATTGTGGTTATTTTGTTGAGTTACTGTGGCAAAAACCGGGCAATTTTATCTATCCCGTCATAAACAGGCCATTTGGTTTCTGATAGCTTATCATGTAATCGGCCAATAAGAGAGTAGAACTGTTTAAATTGGTTGTCGCCGTTAATTTTTTTGAAGTGATACTGCGCCTTATTTTAACACCTGCAAACTGTGTACACCACAAACTGTAGCTCAACTTTACTAGCCATATCAGCGACCTACGACGTATTCTTGACAATTTTTGACTGCTGTAGGTTTTCATGTAAGATGAAACACTTACGTGGACGGTTAGACCTGTTATGGCTGCTTGTTCAAACAGCTAATTCGATTCTGCGGTTGTCGAGCGCAAACGAGTGTAGAACTGATCAACTTAGTACCGCCGCCTATAATCGCCATGAAATCTTTATAAACGGGACGTTTATCTTTGCCGGTTTGTTTCCCATACACTACGCTCCTCAAAATAATTCCTCCTCGCAGCTTTGCCAAGGCAAGTTTAACATTCGAGGCTTTGAAGAAGCCCTAGCAATGGTTTACGCCTTGCAACAGATCAACAAAAGCTTGAAAATTCTTCCTGGTATCACCGTTGAAGCAGACATCGAAGATACATGCAGCACTGTCGATTTTGCAATACGAAAATGCCTGAACTTTAGTTTTGTCAAAAGAAACATGGAAAATGGTATGTGCGAACGTGTAAAGAGCGTTGAATCGCACGACCCTAAAACTGTAGCAATTATTGGTGTTGGATCTAGCGATGTAGCTATGGCGGTCACTAACTTTGCTGGCTTGTTTTACGTTCCGGTTGTTGGTTACTCTTCGTCGAGTAGACTTCTTAGCAATAGGAATCGTTTTAAATATTTTCTTCGCACAATTTCATCTGACAGCCTCATGGCAAGAGCGGTTGTAGATCTGTTGCGTATGTTGAAATGGAATTTCGTTCATGTTCTATATTCCGACACGGATTACGGAAGATCAGCTGTCGAAACATTTGAACATGTTCTTGGGTCTTCATCGGGTGCGAATATTTGTTTGGCCGTGAAAAGAACATTCACAAAACATACGGACGATGTAGAAATCAAACGTATCCTGGACGATATAAAAGCCGAGAAAAACACCAAAGCCAAAGCTGTATTACTATTTACCACTACAGACGATACGGAAATACTATTGAGCCATTTCGATACGTCTCAAATGAAGGACTATGTTTTCATATCGACCGATTATTTCACAGGGTCAGTGAACAGGTTTCAAAGCTCGCGGGAAATGCTAAAGAGAGTTATTGGAGTCACACCGCATCATAGACGCGTAGATAGCTTTCTGAAATATTTGCAACGCGTCAACGAAAGCTTCGTTAGCTGTCCGTGGAAAGAGGAATACAACAAACAACATTTGAAAGATCCTTTAGAACACTCGATCTATGCGCCTTATGTTGTTGATGCGGTGTACGCTGCGGCTTATGGTCTTCATAGTCTTTTGAATTGCACTCCAGGGCAAGGTTGTCAACATTCACCGGATGAGTTTCCAATTTTGAACAGGTGGGAGAAAAAAATCACTGAAACATAGGTCTTAGAATAAATTTCACGGGGAATATTTGACGTCTAACGAAGGGAAAAAGAAACTTTCGCATGAGACTTTTTCAAAAGCGCAAATATGAAAGTGTTCGAATAATTCACGTTTTTTGGGGTCAAATTAGATTCTCAGTTAAAAAAACAAAACAAAACAAAAACAAAAATATTCTTGAAAGCATGACCTCATTAATTTTGGCCAGAAAAGCGCAACTTAATTAATAAGTCACTAATCCCCCCGCTTTAGGTCGGTTATGAAAACATAGATTCTGATAAAATTGAACGAAGGGCCGTATCAGCTCATTCCTTGTCAAAAAAGGTTTTTTTTTTACGGAAAATGCCGTCAAGAGCCGAGTTAGTTCTTCATACGATTCAGTTCTGTATCGAATTGGTAGGAATATGTTCATGTCCGCTATCGACAAGGTGCTCCCGAGAGAAATATTAGTTTTTGAGAAGTTCAAGTTCGCCAAAGAATCGATGTTTGCAAATCAGACATCTGTTCTAGACATTTTATTCAAGGCGTCGATATTCGACAGGAAAAATAAAAGGTTGTCAATCCTACCAATCGCAAACGTCAAGAATCGACTCTTAATCATTTTCTCCAAAAAGGAAAGTGTCTCCGTGAAATTCAGTTTTACAAAAGACAATGCCTGTTTTAATGACAGGGTACATGTTGTAAATTAAAATGACCCCCTTGGTGCATTTCTTTTTTAGCGATCTTAACATTTTTTTTGCTCACAATCTAACCGTGAATGAATACATATTAACGTTATTTTTCGATTTTGTATGGGTAGTTTCTTAAAAGCAGGCTGCTCTGTTTCTACAAGGCAGTTGGATCGAGCACTGCATGTTTTCTATTGTTTCATAAATTATATATATTCAAACCCGTGCTTTTTTATTAAAACGCCAAGTAAATTAATTTAACAAGTTGTCGCACTTATTAAAATATATAAACTTTACCAAAAGCAATTGCTATGACTTCCTTTGTCGGCAAAAGTGACAAATTTTAAGTTAAAAGCTACATAACAAAAACTTCAGCATTTTTTTTGGCTTAAATTTGTTTCAAGACCTTTCCCGTAAGTGCCAGCGAAACACTAAATTTAGTGGCATCAACCGAGTTCAGAGTACTTACATAGTAATTGTTCAGATCCCGATTCGAACATCGAAGGTCGAAGGATGTCAGTGAGCAATCTCAAGGCAGAAGAATATTTCAAAATGTGGGCAGTGCTTTCTTCATATTGTCCCATTTTATTATCTCATAAATGGTACGAGGGTATATCGTTAGAATTTTATTTTTGCCGGTTTGACCTGTTTTTATGAGTCAATGACCGCTATTTTTTCTGACAGAGTATTTAAGTGCCACTTAATACCGTCATTGTAAAAACCCTCCGGAACCGCGAGTTATTCACTGTCCGGAATTAACGAGTCTGTGATAATAGAGGGTTGCGGGAATTTCTCTTAAGATATTTGCTTTGTTCAGATAATATGTCTTTTTAGTGAAATTGACTGTAGAACCTTCTCTAGCGCAGGAAGCATTTTGACAGGCTTGAAAACTTATTTATGCACTCATGTGACCGACTTAAGGACGGGCTCTCCAAGTTGATGCGTCGTGTGGCTTTTAGTTTATTTAGTCCTATTTAGGGCCATGTACGTGCATAATAAAATTTAAGGGCCGTTCGTACGAGAGAAAATAAGCCGCGGCTTACTATGTCCGCGGTTAACATAAAACGCGAAAGGAACCCTTTATACAAGCACGGCTCAGTTACATAAGACGCGAACTGCTCGTATAAATGGTTCACGGCTAACTTCGCGACCAGGTCGGTCCAATGATGACGTAGTTTGCTTTGATGCCTCGTCTTGGGGTAACTGCGTTTGCATCTTCTTGTTTCAACAATGGCTTGAGCGAGCAAAAAAGCTAAACGACTGGCTTTGGCTACCAAAAAAACGCTCTAATTACCTTTTCACTGCCCTTTTCATTTTAAACTGTCTCTTCGGTCAAGATTGGTGTTGGGTTCCCAGATAATTAATTATTTGTCAAAGAAAATTCGCAGTTCGCTGCATATTAGCAGAATTAGCTTTTCTTCAGCGGCACCCCATACGTTTCTTTTTTTAGATGAATCTCTATCCGTCGTCGTCGCCGTTTTCCACTTTTTAAATGGAGTAAATGTAAACAAAACTCATTTTCCCGTCACTGCAGCGCTCGTCTCTCAGCCATGAAGGTCTGGGTTAATACAGAGCATGCGCAGCAATCGTTCACGGCTTGAGCAAGCCGCGGACAACATTTGAGTGCACTTATACGAACACTTTTCCGTCCAAGGTAAGCCGCGGCTTGGATTAACCCGGATTGAATAAGCCGTGAACGTATATTTTGCACCATTTATAAGGGGTGTTTACGTCTTATTTTCTCTTGTATAAACGGCCCTTTGAATTTAGTTTTCGCACAACAGTGAGAATTAACAACTAAGGTTTCGATTTGTGTTATCCGCTTCGGCCCTCGGCGGTATTGGCAGATAATACGGTTATGATCAGCCTTGATAATTCTCGCAATCATGCTCAACCTAAACTTTAAGCCGTTATTATAGTCGTCGGAAACGACTAATGGGCACTCGGCACTAGTTGTACTAGCTAATTTTTGGCCTGATTGAATGTGCATTCTGCCTTAGTTATGGCCAGCCTTGCTATCAAAAAACAGATAAACGAACTGGGTTGAGTTCAGTTCCAAAGAAACTGTTGCGTCGGTGGGTCAGTTAATTACTAAGATTTGGGTTTATCAACTAAGTCGAACATAGTTTCGACGCGTCTCAGTCGTTTCTTTTAACTCCTTGAAGATGTTCGCCGAGTAAGTAGGTGGCCGTTTTTGAGAACATCTTCGAGATGTTAGCGGAAAGGTAAGCGACCGTTTCCTCGAATACCTTCGGAGATGCTGAAGGAAACGACAAAGCCAAAATCGAAACCAGTAGCTCGCCAGTTATCTCTCAAATCATTCCAGCCAAAACATGGCAAACTGCGGTCTCTCACTGCACCAAGGCAACATGGAAAGCCGAAAAATCTAGCGCAAGAACTTGTAATTCAGATCAGCATCCTTGCTCCCTGCTGAATCAACTAATTCTCAACTCAACTCATTTATTTTTGTTCTTCATGGTATGTCCACTATGTCTGTATATAAACCCACAATTCCCTGATTCACTTAGACTTGCCACAAGTCGACTGAGTGAGCGCCGGGCGCGAGGGACGCTCGCGAAGCGAAAGAATGCGAGCGATGCAAGTAACCACCTAACCAGCAAATACTTGAACGCGCGCTTTGAGTTAGTCTATGTTTTACTTTGATGAAGGGCTCGCGCTCGAAAAGTTAGCGTTTTAATACTCCTACACTTATAAATCTACCTTATTAGACTTATTAACTCAGAAGATAGAAACCAATTATAAATTCGAGGGTGTGGAAGAAAAAACGGACCCTGTGTTCTGATTGGCTACCCGAGCGAGCAAGATGGGCCCATCTTACCCGATCGAGTTTTACGCGGTGTTCCCGCAAGAAAACGTTCTCCTTTTTGGCCATATAATAAAAATAAAATAGTTTTATTTAAACTTTCATTTAAGTCCTGTCAGTTCACATGGTAAAAAGCGGTGAAACTGCTTTGTGTGTCCCTTGTAATAACGTTTCATTTGTTGTCTTTTAAGAGACGATGGTTTGCTCAAAAGTATTCAAGCTGTGCGCTTCAAGGGGGCATCACGTGACCAAGTTTCTTTTGATTCCAACGGGAATGGATTGGGTGCTTATGACATCACAGTGGTGAATATAGAGACTGAAGAATGGGAAGCAATCGGAAGCTGGATATCAAATACGTCAAATGTGCTTGACCTTCCTGCGAACGTTTCATTTCTTAATTTAAATCTAACGAAGTTGAGAATGCTTTGGGCGAAGGTCTTCAACAGCTCCACTGAGCCAACGTCATTTTGTGGACAGCAGTGTCCCCCTGGATACTGGATGAGTTCAGAGGAGCGTTACAAGGTATCATTTTTTAATTACAGATGTATCAAATCAAATAAAATCATCGCTTTCATACTATGGACACTGAAAGAGATCTGCGTTTCTTTCTTTGGGATTGTGGTGTTTTGCCCATCCGAAATATCTTTCTTTGTTCAGTGACGTTTTGCCCATAAACTTCGTATCTCAATCAGAATATCTGAGTTACATTTAGCGAAAATATAATAGAACCGCCCAAAAGGTGATACTGAGAAATTTCTCTGTAACAAGTTTAGCCCTTTTATCAATTTATCAGTTTCTCTTTTTTCCACCTTATTCTTGCAGAGGTGTTGCTGGAAATGCGTCCCTTGTTCCACGAACGAGATATCTCATAATCCTGTAAACGGGTCCTGTAGGCGCTGTCCATCTCGCTTCTGGACAAACGAAAATCACACTTCTTGCTTACCCATAATTCCCACTGCTGTAAAGCTAAGTGACCCAGCCGGTATTGCTGTTGGCGTGGTTGCTGTGTTAGGTGTGGTAGGTGTCGTTGCTATCGGCATTGTCTTCTTCCGCCATGGAAATACCCATATTGTTCGAGCATCAAGTAGACAGTTAAGCTTTGTTATGTTGTTTGGAATTTTAATTGGGTACTTGACAGCCATTTTGACATTACTGGAGAGAACAGAGAGGCTTTGTGAAGGAGTGCTCTTTATGTTCAGCATCGGCTTCTGTATTGTGGTAGGGACGCTGTTTATCAAAACAAATCGGATCTACCGGATATTTAGTAAACGAGCCATGAGGAAAGGTAAGCTGTAAAGCGTGCGTTACGTCTGTTAGTACCTGTTACAGTAAAGAGTCTAAAGACCGCGTCACTGCTGCAAACTGAAAAGTGCTTTGACGTCTTTTTGACAATATTAAAGGACTCTTTAACACAGAGATCCAATTTATAGAAATTTAATTAGTCCCAAGGCCTTTCGACGGCGATCCGTGTTTTTGAGAGATTTTTAAATTTCTACTTCTTTGAATTTTCACGAATTCTCCTTCACTATTTGTTTTATAGTATGTGTAAAAAAAAGGGCAGTGGTTATAAAAAAGGAGACATTAACGGACGTCAACTTCAATTGTAATGATTGTGCTCTAATAAGGTTTCTAAAACCAGATATCTCAGGTTCAAGGCTCCCATAAATAAGAGCTGCACCGACTTTTATGATTAATGTTTTTTTACTTGAAAGGTTTTCTCGACAAAACTTTGCAGTCTCGTTCCGCCGTGATATTTATCTAAATGCGAACTCGTAGTTCATATGGGTTATTGACTAAGCGTGAAGTCAAGATAGCTAAATATTCGGGCCAAATTCTTCGTCCCGGTTCATAAAAACGCAAAAAAGTACAAGGCCAATATTCAGCAACGTTGACTGAATAAGCTTGGTCAATACGGGATTTATTATAAGGCCAAAAGAGAACGTGAATCGTTCGGGAAAAACACGGGAAATCCCGAGCTTGCCCGCACAGGTAACCTATCAGAACACAGGAATCCCTTCATCTTATAACAAAAATCTATCCTTTTATAATTTCAGGCACTCCTCAATGTTTAAGTGACAAGTGGATGCTTGTTTTCCTTTCCTGTTTTGTGGCCATAGAAACAATCATCTGTGCTGTCATTGTACTCACTACTCCGGATGTTGGACTTAAAGACGTTGTATACTCCGACATGAAAAACGAAGCCTACATACAATGCAAACTGGTGTCCTACACCAATTACAACATGGCCTTGTGGTGGGGTTACAACACTGGATTGGTTGTAATATGTACCTACCAGGCTTTCCTAACAAGGAAGGTGCCGGGTAACTACAACGAAGCACGCTTTATTGCCTTCAACATGATGACCATATCAATGGACGTGATAATGTTCTTTCTTTCCTATTATGGCACGAAGACCTACTACAAAGACATCCTGGTCAGCTCATTCTTGATCGTCGCTGATACAGTCACTTTAACTTGTATGTTCTTGCCCAAAGTTTATGTCATTGTGTTTCGACCACAGAAGAATGTAGAACATAGAACTACCATTAGCCTGGGAACGCTGGAGAACGAAGAAGAAGATGAAGAAAATAACAGGAAAATTAGCACAAGATCAAACCTATCAGTCATGAGTTCTCTCTCAACCATCAGCAACGGTCCAACGGAAACAGAAGAAAACACTGCAAGTAATGAAACCCGCAAGGAAAGCAGAACGTCCAAAATATCCGTCTCTTCGAACGGTAGCGCTAAAGGAGATTGGGAACCAGAAGGAGAGGACTGGAATATGCCACCGGCTATTATATCACGTGACTCTAACTTGAGCATGCGCACTGTTCGCTTCCAAGACGAAATACATGATGATTTTGTTACCGACTGTCCCATTACTAACGATGATTTCATTGCGGAAAAGACTGAATGTTGCCAAAGGGTGTCGGCAATCTGAATCTTTTTGATACAGGAGTGTACTCAACAAATTTATTTCATTTGCCATGCGACTGAGCATAAAAGGTTAGATATTTTCTTGTTTAAGGGTAACAACGTTTTAACAGGTGATAAGAGCTAAAAATCTGGCCATCGAACCAGGCGAAGACGAGAAAATCCTACTTCACTTGCATGGTTATAAGGAACCTCTTTTCCACTGTAATAAATTTAAATGTAAATTAAAAAGAAAAGCATTTTCATGAAAAGATTTATTTTTGTGTTATGTAGTATTTGTTAAACCTTCTCACTGAATAAAGAATGGATGCTGAAGATCGGTAACTTTAAGTCCGCATTCTCATTCATTGGTTGCCAAGAGCAATGTTGAAATCTGTAATGGGCCCCATATATAGTTCCTGAAAGAGGAAAAAACGCGAGTTTATCAATCCACCTTAACGTCAATCACTTCTCACGTACGTTCCTCTTGAATCTAATGAATCCACATACTGAGTGTCCTCCGTGGAACTGATCTAAGTCAAGGTTTTCAGGATTCATTACTCATGTTTCTCTTTGGGTGCGGATCCAGTTAAGGAGGAGTTCCTGTGAAGCGTCTTTTTGTGTTAAACATGACAAAAATCTGCAGATCAAACGCAGTGAAGTTATGAATAAAACCCAATGTTTTGGCAAAGCTGCCATCATCAGGAGAAAATATGTCAGTCCGTTACTCGCTGGAAAGGCAATGATGCTTTCATCAGACGATCCGTCAATTGCGAGATTTTTTTAGTGAAATCATAAGGCCACCACTTTTCGTTACCCTTAAAAATCCACTTCGGGATTTTCGTTTCTTTCTTCGCGATGAATTCAAAGAACTTCAGATTTATAAGGGATAGTAGATAAGTTAACGGCTGATAGAACTACCGAAGTCGATGGCATTGTTTTGAAGTACTAGTGTTTGGATGCCACTAATCTTTTGAGTCTCTTTGTTTTAAATCCCGCCGAATTAGTCAAGAAAATATCTTGACTCACAGAACAAACAACGTCGTGCTTAAACTGTCACAAAGTGTCATTTGTTTTAGAGTTATCAATAGTACCGTGCAAACAGTTAATGTAAAATGTTTGACTAAAATTAAGTATTCGTTTTCTCAAATAAAAGAACGTAAATTCAATGGATTCCAGTTTCACCATACAATCACACCAGGTCAAAGGTTTCTTTAACTGCAGAGCTTAATTGGCTCCAAGCATGGCGATGGCCAAGCAGGGAAGAACCGGAGGCAAAAAAGAAAGCATGGTAACTAATAATTTAATTATGAATTGCAAAGAAAACACGCAGCTTAGCATAAAACTCGCAAGTCTTGAAATTCAACAAAGAAAGGAAATGGCAAAATGGGAAAGAGAGAAAAACAAACTTACCTTGCCGAGCCTCAAAGCTAACTGTGGAAGAGTTTCTCTTACAACACCATCTTCTCCAACAAGCTCTACATTGCCTAGCCCTGTGTTAAGGCGACGAAAAAGCGATGTTCCAGCTGGCATCGCAACATCATCAAGAACCGAGGAGAGTCTCGTTGTTTCAAAAGAACGTTCTCGTGGTAACCAGAACATGAGCATCTGCAGTGACAACGTTGGTTTACGCAGATGCAAATCCTCTCAGAATATAAGGCTCAGTGTTAGTCCTCAACCACCTCGCAGTGTGGGGCCTACAAGCCCTAAACTACTTCAAAGAAGATCTACAATGGGCCAAGCCTGCTTATTCAGTGAGGGAGCAACGCGAAGCTGTATTGACACAGGAAGACGATTTTCAGCAGACGTTGTTCCAGCCATCCGAATTGAGGATAGCGCAGAAGTTTTAAGTGAAAAGGTAAAGAAATTCAACGAGGGTTTAAAAAAATTCTGCAGTGAAGCTAACCACAACAAATGCAAAGAAACTGATACAAATTCAGCCGACGAAGATCAAATTCCCAACGAAGAGTTATCGATTACCTCAAGGCCGATCACTCACAGATGGAAGTCATTGCCTAGTATATTTCCTCTGCCAGACGACGGCCAGAAATCGAATGAAAACATGACGTTCTATGAAGATATGAAAAGATGCAAGTACTTAAGAATCCCTGATTGTCCTGCTTTAACCATTGAGCAAATCTTTAACAAAGATACGAAGTAGGTGATGAGCAAATAGATGGAATGTCATGATCATATTTTTTGTCAGGGACGCGCTACATCACGGCTCCGCCAACTTGAAATTTTTCGCCTAAATTAGTAAGGCCTGTTGTTTGTAAACCATGTTATGCTCCTTCATCCTTAATCATCTTAATTCTGTTTAAATTTCTTACAACCTCTTTTGTGTGTTTTTATTTAAGTAACTTATGGTTGAGTCAATCCGAGCGTGTCCCTATATTTGGGGCATTTGTCAGGCATTTGTCGCGTCGTGTGTTCCCAGTGGTGGGAATTTATCATGAAAGGTCCTCTCAGGAGAAGGGAATTTTTCCTTGTTGAATTTACATGTAATATTTTGTACCATTTTGAAAAAGGAAAATCTCTTTCAAATTATAATTGTATGAAACTGGTGGCCCCATCGCCGCTGAGCATTTGCAGCTTTTCGAAATGATACTAGGGAAGGATTGACGGGCATGCTTGGAATGGACTCAGTAAGCCATTAAAATTTTGTCGTAAATTTACTCTAATGTTAATTGGTACATTGCAAATTAATTATTGCCCCCGCGAAATCCCGAGGAGGCATTCTACTAGTAACTCGCGCGTATATTTGCCCCCGCAGGGATTTCGCCCGGAAGGCGAAATCCCGAGGAGGCACTCTAGTAACTCGCGCGTATATTAAGGAAAGTGCTTACAGTTGAAATATATAGTCATACAGTCAATATAGAAAAAATCTCGATTTGCTTGAACAGGGGCCGCGAGGAATCGGTAGGTAATGATGACGTTTCTATTGTTTGCGCCCGCAAGTACGAAATGGTTAGGATGACGTAAAACACAAAAAGCTTACAATAGGTAGATTTTGTGGCATTAATTGTGCAGTCGTACTTCGATACTCTTTTGCGTTACGTGTTATCAGTGACATTCTGTGGAGTAGTTGTTATGAAAGTTATGGACCAAAAGACACTCGTTAAGCGCAGATGAAGTTATAAGGTGCGTAGAAAAGTGTATATTTTAACACTAAGTGAGTTTGCCAGACACGAGTTCACAAATCTTTGACTGAAAACCTTCAGCTGAACCTTGCCAGACACTCTTTCTCTCTCTTTGACCGGAATAAGACTCGGCCCAAAACAAGCAAGACGAGTGAATGATTCAAAAGCTAGCTTATCACTAGCAGAACTATGGACGATTACAGGAATTCGCCGACCTTCAAAGTGACTTATTCCCTGCTCACAGATGTCCTTCCCCTATAAAGTTTAAAATAGGACTAGAATGGGCGAGCGTGAATTGATCAAACGTCCTTTTAATTTCTAAGGCTTACTTTCCGGCAAATAAAATGAACTAAATGTAAAAAGTGAAATAGAAATAGCGAAAAATTAAACTTCTAATTAAATCTTTTCTTATGGTTTAGCATAAACTATTCTCGAAACTGAGAATGTTTTGATCAAAGCTGTGCAAATCGAACCGAAACTCTGCATGGAACCTTTCGTTTATTTCCTGTAATTTATCTCACTTATTGTATGGAATATGTGTGAACATCTTCGTTATGAATCGGTATATTTCAAAGAGCTACACAAGGAGCAAGAATACTATATACAGAGCGGGGGCAGCTGTAGTGTCAACTGTTACTAATAAGGAAAGTACTTACAGTTGAAATATACAGTCATACAGTCAATGTAGAAAAAATCTTGCTTGCTTGAATAGGGGCCGCGAGGAATCGGTAGGTAATGATGACGTCATAAGCACACGCATACTATTTTTTTTTGCACACTACAGGACGCCGGCGTTGTTAAGGACGTTAGGGTTTGAGTGACAAGCAATAAACTTCCTACTGCGAAAAGCAATTCGTTTCTTTACCATTTGGTCCAATCATCAGTGGTCAGTTATTCGATAAAGCGTCACATTTTTTTAACAAGACTTAGGCGCCATCTGGCGATAGAGTAATTGAGAGAGATTTGCGTTCTTAGCTCACGAGTTATCCAGAATAATCGCGCGTGGCCTACGACTCAAGCGATGTCTTTCTGGTCTTTGCCAGTAGTAAAATGTAGCGTAGTTCCCTATTGTATTGAATGTACGCATTGAGGGTCGCAGAAATCAAATAGAATCGGACGAATGTTGCTAGATAAAAGCGTTGACTCAAAATATTTATTATGCAAAACCCGCAGTCCGTGAACACGCAGCATACTACTCATGAAGTAAAGATGGATGCCAAAGCAAATTGCAATCATTTATCTCCGAGGCTTTGTGTGTGCTGATTCAACGAATTTCTTTGGCGCGAGCTTGCTAAACTGCAGTTTCCGCACTGAATCGCGTGTCACGCACGCGCTGGTGCGTTGTGTTCTTATTCTTATGGCATCCCTCTCTCTCTGATGGAATCTTCTACATTCAATTCATTCATTCATTCATTCTTTTTGATATTTATTTAGAACAATACTGTTGCGATCCGTTCACGGAGAATCTCTGCGAATGCGGGTACGTTCCGAAAACAATATTCTTGTGGTCTCGCGTTCTCCTCGCGCGCGTCCTTTTGCTTTTAATCACCTGGAGACTTTCGTTTGGTTTTGGTTTGATTATTTTACGTAGTACAGTCGAACCCCGGTATTTCGTGCGAGTAATAAGTTCCATAGCCTCCCACGCCGACGTTCTTAGGGATTCGTCACGCGTTTCTGCCCCACGAACGTCTGTTGACTTGAGCGGAAAAAGACGTAGACTAATCACAGCAGATAGGCTCAGGATCTCTTAATGTAATATAACCCTTGGTTCAAAACAATAGACTTGGCGCCTCGCCCTTCAGAAATATGCGAAGATCGCGACGTTATTAAACGTTGCTATCCCCCGAAAATCGAGCCTGCGGCTTGTAATGCCAGCCTTGCATTCGTTTTTGTTTGATTTTACACATCAAGTGACGTCCGGCTACAGTATCTCTTTAATTAGAGATCCGGCAAGAGGAACCAGTCAGTTTTATTTACGCGTTGCGTGGACTTCTGCATTTATAGACTGCGTGCAGTCGGCCTTTTCTTTTGAAATCTGTCTAGTTCTTACCTCAGCCAGTGCGATTGCAAACCACGATATTATGTTACAATAATGGGATTGGGACGAGACCAGAAAAGACGGTCCCTTATTTTTTTCATCTCTGGCTTACGCCCTCGTTTATCGCAGCTCGCGTGCAGTAACGTTTCAAAGAAAAATGAGAGACTGCTCGCAGTCTTCTGCTTTCAAACAGTTTTTCGTGTAAGATAGTAGGCCTCCTGCCAGGTATTAATCACCCAAACGGTCCTCTCCCCCCTTCCACTTTTCAAACAGCAGTGTGAGTAGTTCTTTCACGGTGCTATAGATAAGGAAGGATGAAGGAGGCAATGACGTATGGCTTGACGTCACCGCCGAGTGACGCGATCACCTGAACATCACAGCGACATGATCTCACCCCGGTTCGAGGTCCTGCCGAGATCTGAAGCTGCAACGTCGCGCTCAGCAGAACTGCGAACTTCTAGCCTGAGATCTAGCCTGCAGAACAGGCTTTATTTTTTCGAGTATTTTTAAGGTGAACGAAGGTAAGCACGAGACGAGCAAGGAACACGAGACACTCGCGACGGGGACGAGTCGCGCTCCTCGAGTCTCCTCGCGCTTGAATTTGCTCGCCTGAAAAAAAGGGAAAAAATAACGCTTGTTCTGCAGGCTAACTGCAATCATATAGGGCGGTTTTCATTTGAGTGTCGAAAAGTAATTGGTTTTGCACTTTCTACACGATGCGATTGGCTTAAAAGATTCGCGCCACCTTTTCATCCAATCAGAAGTAAAACCAAAGCCAACTGTGACGCGCTCGCATGCATTTTCCCGCGCTTTGCGTCAGCCACATGTTATTACTTCGCGTTTTGATTGGTTCAATGTATTGTCTGTGTCCTATGTGATTGGCCAGAGTAATTACTTTGGTTTTGGTTTTACGACACTCAAACGAAAACCACTCTATCTCTATCTATATTATGCATGCCTATCGTAAAACAAAAAAAAAGATGGTCAATTCCTGGACCCATTGAAGATCACCTATTTTCTGTTTCCTGAGAGGTCCGTCGGATACTGTTGAAAGGCGCGGTAATGAGATTGTGTTTTCAAAAATCTCCACTTTCATTTTCTACACAACTTGAAACGTAAAAAAAGCGGAAGACCTGATTTGTTTTTGTGTACTTTTTTGATTAGTTGCAATCCCTGGACAAACATGTCTTCCATTAAGTTAAAAGTCAAACAGATAACGGATGTTACAAGTAATTAAAAAAGCTTTTCCAGTAAGGGTTGATTTCCAAAATTTACGTTCGCAAATAAAACAGACGCAATTCATTAAAGGTCGCTCGTAAGCGAGCCTAAAAGTTGAAACCCACTCAACTTCTCATTTTAGCTCAACACTTTTTATCTTGCCTCTATTTTATTTTCGTGATTAAAATTTACGTGCGTTAACGTGCGAAGCCAAAAACGCGTCAGTGGAAATCAACCTTAATTGTATATCCATTAGTGACGTGATTCGAGATAGGTATAAACAACTATGGGGAAAATTTCCGGATACTCAGTGTTTCAAAGATCTTAACTTCTACCAAGTAAACTTACAGATCGATCATTACGTCAACGTGGCCATGATTACATACTACCACGCATTCGTACCGAGCGCTTCAAGCGTTGTTTTGTGAATAGATGTCTTTTTAACTTTATCAAGAGCCTCAATTATGATCTCGTGACTTTATTTGGTTTAATGTTTGTCGGAAAATTTGTATTCGTATAATTAATTTCTCTTTTATTGCATTGTAAACTTGCACGTGTGCCTGCGTGTGTTTGCTTTAATTTATCAGTAAAGATCTGATCTGATTCAAATGAATTCACAGGCGTAACTCCGGTACCAAATTCAATAGAAGTACTACTCTTCGTCAGTTTTTTGATTTAAAGTTTATACTTCTACCATGCCAAATACGTTGATCGAAACACAATTCAAACCGATTTATAATACCATGTCAAATATTTTGTCATAAGAATGTCATCTTTCGAGTGAGAAGAGCTCAAGGGGACAAATATAGCAGTGAATCGGATTTTCTTGCAAAAGTGGCCTTTGTGTAAACGTTGCTAGTTTTTAGCACTATCTGACGTTCATGCGGAGGCGTTTTTGTCGCTTGTCAAGCTCTTATACATCTCCGCTAAACATTTTTATATGTGTTGATTATTGTGATGGTTTCAAGGCAGGGCAGGGCATGAAGTTTCCCCTTTAACCTTACTTTGAGTTTCAGAGTGTTGGCTGTATTGGAGGAAGAATGCTGTTGTAAGTTTTTTTCAATCATATTTTTAGCCCTTTGTTAAATTACCGCAACTTAATAATGCTACGTAGTTCGACCGAACTCACGCTGTTCATAGGGGTCAACATCTTCCTACATTAATCGCGCAAACAAGAATTGGATATGAAATGGCTAGCTGCGAATCAATATCATATAGACCTCTGCAATTATGCTAGACGAACGTATATGAGTAAGCATTTAATTGATTCTCAGGTGCCCTGTAGTGCGGAAGACAAGTGATTACGAAGTGTTTTATTGCCGGGATGCTCTTTCCTTTATAGCTAGCTGTTTATTCAAATTCTTGCGAATGTAAAGGTGTCAAAACTATAAAGTGAATGTGAATCATTCGAAGCGCGAAGCGCCTCAAGACCACAACGACAGGTTTGTAGGCTGGTAGGAAAATTGTAAATATAGTATTGTTAGAGGCCTTTAAATTTGAGGACGGAGGAGACTATGAGGGCGAGATTAAACTTCTAGGTTTTTTTCGCGTATTCCCACAAAATTAATAGACACCTCGAAAAGCTTCATTGTACTTTTTTTCACCAGAAAAATTAGCACGGGAATTTTTTTGGCAGGAGGTTAAGCTCTCTCCCGATCACAAGATGATAAAGCATTTAACATTTGGTAACTTGTTTTACCCACTACGACATTAGAGACCTTTAGGTTTCAGGAAGAGAACGACTACGAGTACGAGATTTGATTTGAACGTTTTCCGCGCGCGTATTGTCGTCAAAAAATAGACACCCTGGAATGCTTTATTGCATTTTTTTCACCGGAAAACTTAGCACTGTTAGCTTTATTCGAGGATGTTAAGCTCTCTCCCATCAAAAAATAACAAAAATTTCAACATCTTATAACTTGTTGCCGCCACTTCGACATTCTCTATAAAACTCGTGGTGCAATGATGACGGCTACAACGTTTTCCCGCGAAAATGACGCTGGTTTACGCGCGCGCACTACTTAGTAATGAGAAAATCTCGTCCTCGTGGGCGCGTAGTTGTTCTCGTCTTACAGAATCTAAGGCTTCTATTTTGTACTGAGGTGGTAAAGTACATCGCCCAGCGCGTATATGTAAAAACGTCACATTTCGAAGCCCAGCAATTTGTCACAATAAGTCAAGAAGTTATAAGTAGTGTGCAGCGGTGGGTTTACATTTTGTTTCGCATTTTCACTTTTGTTTTAATCATGAACTCTTGGATGTGAGCGGGAGATCGCGGGTTCAAACCCCTACCGGACTAACACTCAAGGTCTTTAAAATAACTGTGGAGAAAATGCTTCCTTTGCACCTTTCCGCCACTTCGACATTCGACATTTGACATCTGCAAATGGTTAGACTTTATAAGCCTTCTCGGATAAGGATGAAAAACCGTAGGTTCCGTCTCACAGCACTTTTACTTCTCTGGTTCTTGTGGGACGTAAAAGAACCCACACTACTATTCGAAAAGATAACGGGACGTAAACCCCGCCTTGTGGTGTGGTCAACCTCTTCTGGGATGGATGGAATATCTGTAAGGACACACTTAAATCAAATCCTCGCTCTGTTGTGTGTTCCGCACCGTATGGTGGAAGTGATTTATAAATTATAAAGTATAATTAGAAATTATAAATTAGATTTTTTGTTCCTTTCCAGGTTGGTCTCTCCGGGGGAAGTTTATGATCGGTTTATTGAACCTGACCGATTTTGAAAACAGATAAGCAGTTGAAGGTAGGTTCAGGGTCTTATATATATTTTATGGATATTAAAATATCCATGGAATATATATCCAGCCGTTTTGAAAACGAATCTAACGAAATTTGCAGTCATTTGAGTGAAAAGGGATCAAAAGGCAGGTTTTTTTTTGCGCCCGACGAAGTTGCAAATCGTACTAATGAAGAAAGAGAGCGAGGAGGAAAGGAGGATCATTTTACGTTTCTGGGAAACTGCCCACCTACCCCTCCCCTAAGCCAGAAAGGAGGAGAAGAGAAAAAAGCAATGGTTGCACTCTTAATTTTTATAATGGCTACTTTGAGTTTGTGGCCGAAAAGAAACTGTTTGCCTGAGGAGGTCCATTTAGCGGTGACGTTTTCAAAATCCGGCTAGATATAAGTAAGGATTTTTAATGTAAGCCATTATTCCGAGAAAAATGTTTTGGGAAGGGGTAAAAGAAATTTCAAAATTTTTAGGCCAGTGCATCATTTAACTCTATAAACAGCTACAGGACTCAGGGCCGCAATAATATTAAAGTTGTGTTCTTTGGTGTATCGACTACGCTGTGTGCAACAGGCTTGTAGATTATTACCTCTTGATTTTTTTTTATATTCTGGGGCAGTAATCAAATCTTTACTTTGTTCATAATGTGACGCAAATTTACTTATACGCTCTTCAAGGGGAATAATCATTAAAACCTCTGCCATACACGTACAGATTTAGGGTGTTATCGATATAAACGTTCGCTTATTCAACTTCGAATCATGGTTGCCACAGCCAGAGGTTTCTGAAATTCCCTGACTTCTCCCTGACCTTTTTCCTGACAAATATAAAATTTCCATGACCAACTGAATTCACAATTTCACAATTAAGTCCTGATGATGGTGGATTCAACCCTCTCCTCATCACAGTATATCCTCTTCACCCATTTATTTTTAATGTTTTCAGCAAGTCACGTGCGGTGTACATGAGTTGACAGTTTCTTAAAATAACGTGCAATAAGCAGAATAAGGACTGATGCAACAAGGACTGATTGATTTTCTTGAAAGACCAACAACAGCTTTTCGTTCAATTTCATGTATGAAATGTTCTACAAATACAGCACGATTCATGTCCGTAAAATGTACAAAAGAATTTTAAATGTTAGAAAAGGATGAAAGTTAGAGGGAAAAGAATGATTATGTACTCTTAAAAATTTCACTTTCCCCTGACTTCTTTCCAAGACTCTAATTTTCCCTCACTCAAACTGAAATTCTCTGACTTTTCCCTGACCTTGAAGAGATTTTTTCCCCTTACCATTTCCTGACCTAAGGCAACCATGCAAACAGCATGATAAAAAATTTCTATCAATCACTAGGTATCAAGTCTGTGATTATCGCTAATTTAAAATTA